TGCTGTGCAACACTTGCGATCGTTGCTGTCGTCCGACCGACTATGCGTCCGGCCTCACAGTCTGTCGCGTATACGGAACTCGTCGCTACTCAACCTGGAGACGAAATGCGCTCTGACATCGTTGCTATGCGGGTTAAAAGCTTTCGTGTTTGATAGCTGCCCATGAGGACATAATATTCAATAGGATATAGACAGAAAATTGTTTGAGAGTATTGCGGAGAAAGGGAACCTTCAAGAGATTAAGGAGTAAAGTTCCATCTTTGCTGCATGTGTTTAGTTTCTTTTTGCGAAATAGCATTATAATTGATCTAGGTGATCCCTTTTTGACATCGGCTCATTCCTGAAATGTGCTATGCCACCTTGTTTTCACGATTAATACCTGACGTCTTTTTCTTTAGGTTCCTCACCAATTCGACCTTCGTCGTCATATCCTGATCTTCCAAGTTATATTACTTCTCCAGGGGCTTCTTATTCTTTTAACGGTTCTAGTACATCACCGGCATCACATGAGAACTCACTAGAATGGATATGTCGAAAGTGTTCGAAAGCGAACCCCGATTTCTTGACGTTCTGTGAATGTTGCAATGAACGCAAATCAATAGGTGAATTTATTTTATAACCTTTTTAAATTTGACTGGTGAACATTGTCGTAATTTTCTGTGATGGGAACTTGAGACGTGCATGGAACAAATTTTAAGGGCAAAGTGATATACTTGTCAAGAACAAAGTCAGTGTTTTGCAAAGACATTCTTCCATTATCATTTCTGGTAATGTTATTAGTAAAGTAATAGTCCATTGAGTCTGAATTTCGCTTCAATGTCGTCAGTGGCCTAGTATTCACCGGCACAGGTACCTCCTTGGAGAGCAAGTAATGAGGAGGGCAACCTCTCATTGGCGGGAACTAAATCGTTGGCTTTGAATGTTTCGACAGTGTTTTTAATCCAATCTTTTCGAGTGTAACTTGTCATTTCTAGTGGAAAATTTTTTGCTCTCACTCAGTGATCTTTTTTACTACCTTTTAGGATCAAAACGGCGTCAGCGCGGATTGTACCGTAACGGTCCATCGACTTCGGCTGACTCCCCTATGTCGAGTAGTAGTGTGAGTTCTGCGAATCGTTCCAACTGTGGACTTTAAATCTTATGCCGTTTAGTATGGGGTATTTCAGGGCAAGATCGCTGCAGGCGACGACGCGAGCACTTTGTGCTCGGAGGTGATGACCGAGGTTGAACGTCATGATCGGGAGAATGCATCTACGGCTTATAATAATATTGTTGACGTTTGTAGGTGAGAAATGCTCTTTCTTGCCTGTCTTTTTTCGTTAGTTTAGCATCACTAATTGTTTGTGTTAGACAGTTTAAAACGACGTTTATTGATGATGGTTTCCCCCATACTCCGAAATCGATTGGTGACCTGTACAGCGATGATGAAGGTGCTATTGTTGGTGAGCTATTTTGCAGTTGATTTGATCCTCTTAACTTTCATAAGGTCACAAGATACATTCATCGAAATTTAGGATTTATCAGGGCTTGCCAACCCAGTCCAAATTTCATTGTAGGTAGAATTCCAAAAACCTTCATTTGGTTGCGACCTGAGCAAATGTATACGAAGGATGGGCGTGCCTGGCCATGGACTGTTTTCAGAGATCCGCGCTCTTCTGATATAGAACAAGGTGAGCTGTCTAAATGCCGTTGGAGAGGCTTTCGGTAGGTGACCTCAATTTTCACAATAAGCTATGCCTGGTTTAACCCATGGCTGTATTCATAGTAAGCTCATGACATAGGTACCTATGTGGTCTATCTTGTTTCTTCTACCAACCGATGCCTTTTCCTGCGCAAAACCTTGATGTCGTACGTATACCTCATATCCTCACCTTCAATGTTGTAGGTTGTTTGGGCGACTGCTGGCTTCTGTCGGCGATGGCCTTGATTGCGGAAAGACCCGATGTCCTAGAGCATATTCTGTTGACGAAGGAATATTCTTGCTTTGGTGTGTATCAAGTGAGGTTCGTTGTTAGCTTTACTAGTTTTCTTCGAGGGAAATATTTCTTGCGCCAGTAAGCGTTACTATGCTACACTTTTCTGTAAAAGTCTTTATACCTCCGTTACACTCTGGTATAAATACCATTGCGAATTCTCCGTCTAAACGCAGAGGCGGAGTAAGCGTTACTATGCTACACTTTTCTGTAAATGTCTTTTCAGCTTTAGTCGTCATTTGGCCGGCCTTAGTTTTCTGGGACCATGCCCCGAACAAATACAAGTCTTGGACATCTATATCTGTTTAGCCTGCAAGGGACTTTCCTGGGTCTCCAGTAAATACAGCAGAATGTAGCTTGGGGAACGGAGGATTAAGGTGTATCCATTAATAAGATTTCGATTGTTAAACTGGGCGATCGAGCAGCCTCCATAATTGAATTTCTTTAATAAATCATGTCATGCTACAGTTTTTTTTTGTCGAATTTGAAGAGTTCACCATTCCTCATTACGGCTGTGAAGAAACTCGATGACCGCTATTCTCTTGAAAATTTATCTTGCTGTCTATGCTTTCTCATTTCTCCGTTTACGGTATCAGGTCATGTACAAGCTTTTTTGTATTTAGACTTTGCATCGACGGGCAGTGGAAGATCGTATTAGTGGATGACTTTTTCCCGTGTAGAGTTGAGTCAAGATCAATAGCGTTCGCTGATGGAAGGAAGAATCAGGTATCAAATTCGCTCCTCATGTTTCAAAAGCTCTCTTTACTACTGTTGTATGCTTGTACTACTTTGGAGTTGTATACGTTGGTCTTTTTGCAGCTCTGGGTACCACTCATCGAGAAGGCGTTGGCAAAGCAGCTCGGAAGCTACGCTCGTTTGCGGGCTGGCAGAACAATCGAAGGATTGGCTACTTTGACAGGTAGGACAGTTAGAGTCAATGTCACAGTATAGTTTTAATATACCATGTATTCCTTACCTCTTTCTATACATTTGTCCTTATAAAGGTGCACCGGTGGAAATGGTCTCTCTGGAGGATGATACCGACAAAGATGTAAGATGGGCAAGAATCTTGAGCGCAAGGTGAGTGTGATTTGTGTTTTTTCTTTTCATGATATTCATAAATTATTACCGGAAGAACTGGAGAATGAGAAAGCTAGAGTTTTTCTTAATCTTCGTTCTGAATTTTTCAGAGAGGCTGGTTTTATAATGGGTTGCAGTTGTGGTGCAGGAAAACGACATGTGAATCCCAGAGCTTTCGAAAAGAATGGACTGCTCGCACGACATGCTTACTCCATTTTGGATGTTGTGCAAGAAGGGGAACACAGGCTAGTTCATTCTTCATTCAATGCGAAAGCAGGAAGTGCTTCTTGAGTTCATGCCGGCAGTTTGAGACACACTTCCTGTTCTCGTAGAAAACACGAAGATCATGGGGTAGTGGCAAGTGGCGCCATCTATCACGTGCACGGCCCAGGCGTGAGGTCGAAGAGCGGATCTCATTTTGGGTCAACTAAGCTTTACATTGCTGTAGCGCTCATACTAAGTGATAACAGAATCATCCAGGAGTGTAAAGGCACTGAGGCTTAATTTTGCATGTCGTTCTAGGTATGAATCCCAATCAAGCGCCGTGCGTTCATGATTGCATTTGAATGCATGTTCTCCTTAGATAAAAATCGTTCAACGCTGTATCATTAAAGTTAAATAAAGTTATTCTTTTTCATTAAAGTTATTCTTATTTTTTACTGTAGAAGGAAGGATGCGACGCGCAAAATCTTATTATTTTTTTAGGTTACTTCGACTTCGAAATCCGTGGGGTTCTTTTGTTTGGAACGGGAAATGGAGCAATAAATGGTCGGGTTGGCCAAAAGGTAGGGGTTCCCAATTTTTTATCAGCTTGTCCTCCTTATTGGTCGTTGTTTGTTTTTTTGAGGACTTTGTTATCTATAGTTCCTGGTCAACTATGGGAATAGATATTAAATCAATTTAATTGACCTGTTGCAAATACTAGTTTTTAGAGATGAAACAGAAGTTACTGTCAGGAGAGCCTTCTACAGGGACGTTTTGGATAAGCTACGATGATTTTCTCGCCCATTTTGATGCTAGTATGTGTTTTAGCGTATTTCTTCCTATTTGTTTTGATGCGCACTTGATTACTTCGGAGATTCAGAGGCCGTTGATTTTTCTTTTCACATTAAATATATAATAGTTAGTACAACGTGTACACATGGATAAGCTCATTCTTTTTTGAGTACAAATTCTGCAACTTCTAAGTTGGAATATTTCAGTCGATATTGCAAAGATAAGATGGTATCACGGCTGGCGAGAGTTGCGCATACCGATGCAGTTCGGTGGATATTTCATAGACACTGACAGGTATCTCTTCTATGACCAGCGTTCTTTTCCTTTTTGAGTTTTCCTCAGTTACGTAAGAAGTTTTCAGAGCCGTTCGTATTCTCATTGAAGAGTCAACTGAGGTTTGTTTCACGTTGTTCCAAAGTGGAGCTCGCAGGGCGCAAGATCAGGCAAATCAAAATTATTATTTCCTCTTGTCCTGATGCAGTTCTTTTTTGGAGTATGATTCGGTGATTTTTTAGGTGGATATTCTTCTGTGCTTGCATATAGTTTCGCCATCCGGCACGATTGGGGAGCTTGTTCATCGTTCTCATCGTAAACTAGAGCCTTTTGTTAGCACAGGTAGGTCTGCCCGCTACCTTTAGACCACATGTTTATATCGTGTTGCTAAGGTATTGCTTTTTTTAATTACGCATTTCAAATTCCCAAGTTGCATCGCTGAAATCAGCGTACCGCATGTGGAAGATATGATGTGATTTTGTTTCGAAATTTTAGTGCTTACCTAGCACACTTCGCTGGAGTTTCCTTATTTCTCTGCGATTGCAGCAATTATCTGATCAACAGTGGACTCCAGATGAGGTCACATGTTGTTTCTTTTCAGGCGATGTGTTCTTGCGTTCAGGGCACTACGTCGTTATTTGCCATAGCTTTACAACGTTAGGCACTAGAAAGATTCAAGGTTGTCTAGCGATTCACAGGTAATCATCAGTTCTCTCGGCCGTGCTCAACACCGGTTTTCAAATATTTTGTCGCCTTTTCTTTCGCTCTGCCCCAAATTAAGCTTTTGTTGAGCCTTTCTTTCCAAGGAACAGTTGGAATTGGTCGCAACCATCATGCAACCACTGCCTTCACCTAGCGTTGTGAAATGTCGGTATATAAAAGCCCCGCATTTGGCTTCACATAGATCCTATTGGTGAACCATGCTTTGTTTTTCCATCCAGAGCACAGTGAGATATGCAATAATCAATAGAATGCTCGTGAAATGATGCGGGTATCAATCTGATTTTCGTCTTTCCAACGTGCGGCACCGAGCCCGCCCTGTTGAAGAGTTCTTGGTAGACCTAGGATAATAGGGGATACACATGGAGTGCATGCAAAGTAATAAATAGACAATAAACTATTTTGCGGGACTCGCATTACGTTATGTAAAGGAATTATGCTTCCAGTTCTAAACCCATCTACGCGGACATGCTACCATGCCCGGCATCCATGTTTACTGACTCATTAGTGCAAATGGTCCTGAAGGAGGGGAAAATCCATAAGGTAAGCTATTTGCGCGAGGTGTCAGCAGTGAAGTGTCGAAAATTATTTTGGTTTATGGAATATTCTTTTCTTCCTCTTATAATTGTTCCAGTCACTGCCCGGAGTGTTTCCTCGTTATGTCAATGAAGACTTTTCGGGTTTACTACTGATGATAGATAACGTTCTGGAGGATATGTGGGTCCATGCCAAGTAAGTTTTCCACTCGCCTTCGATAGGATTTTTCTTATAATTAGCATAATTCGAGTTAAAGCGATCAATTTGAGTTTCATTCGCTTGCTAAATGTGGTTCGGTTCAGGGTAGAGTGCTCGAACTCCACTAACCTGCTTTCGTCTCGTGGAGCCTTGGATGTCGCTGACTCGATTCCTCCACTCAGCCGTCAGGTATTTGTAGTTCATTCAGGATTTACCAAGAAAGGTCATCAGGTCGGTCCGGCCATTTGCAATGAGCTGCATACCGTTGCACTCGCCTCGAGACGCTGAGCTCAAAACTGCCTTCCTATCTGCTAAACGATTCTTTGAACGGAGTTATAAAGCAAGGAACCGCAGCGGTAGTGCCCTGCTCTTGCAGGCAAGGCGTTGTGGGAATGGTTCCTGGAAGAGTTTGTTTTCTTGCTTTGCTCGACAATGTGACCGACACGCTTCTCTAACTTCTTTAATTTATCGCCACTTGTCATTTGCCTGTATGAGAAGTTTAAAACAAGGGGCGGAAGTGGTGTAGTGGCAAGTGGCACGCTTACCACGCGAGCGGTCCGGGGATCAAATCCTGGGTCGTGAGTCGCCCGGGCCAACCAAGCCTTCCATCCCTCCGGGGTCGGTTAATTGGTACCAGACTTGTCTGGGAGGATAAAAACACTGACTTGTACATCGGCTGGCCCCCGCAAGTCATTGTATAGGCCACATCGCATTCAAACGCCACTACGAATGTACAAATGGAAGTAGAATGCGTGCCGCATTAAAACGGGATTGATGGCTTTATGAGGAGTTTGCGAGCAGTTCCTTGCAGGTTTGGGTGCTATTTGTCCTTGTCTGCCCATGATGCCTTAGTGCACGTTACAGGCTTTCGTGACAAACAGGCGTGATATTCGTGTTCAGGGGTCCAAGCTGCCCCTGGGATCAAGTTGAACCATCTGAGGCCGTCAACGGTATGCTCTCCTGTTTCGGGGCGGGGTGCCCGCATCCGGATAAGCGCTCTCTCTCGCCGCGCTTCGGGGAGACGGCCACGCCCACCGGTTTGAGGGGAGATCCTCCCGATCGGCATGCGTTCGGGGCTAGCCGGGGCTACCATAGTCCAGTGGCCGCAGAGTGTGGAATTGTCTGTCGGGCGCGCAATTCTTCTATGAGTCGCGCATGGCAACTCTGGAACTTTCACATTTGTGAGCATGTAATCATAATTTTGATGTGCACAGCAAGACAAAGAGCCGATCGATTTATTCTGAATGATTTGTTCACCAACGATGTCACGTTGATTGGGATAGCAATCAAATCAAAATTATGAATATTATGTCACATTTTTTATAATTTCGAGACTTTTGTGGCTTTTTTTCGAAATGATGGACTATCGCATTGCTTGGTATTACCATGTTAGTCAGAGCAAGCCTGAGGTACTCGTTTTTCACCAGTGAGTCAAGTTTATGCATTCAAAATGCATAGGACTACAGCGTTTGTTTCACGTTATTACAATATTATATTTATATGTAACTATTGACTATTCAATTTAAAATCGGTTTTCTTGATTGTTCAGCTGAATTGTTTTGTTTGCTACACAACAAAAAATGGATTGAGGTTGGGCGCATCGCCGCGCCAAATATCCAAGGCATTCAAAACAATGGCAACTTTCTCATTTTCATACTAACCTAATTCTTTTGCTGTACGAGCATATTGTTCACACAACCAGGAGCTTCGTTCCGCTTTGAGATTAGATTACTTGCCAGAACGAACTCTGACAGTGCGATATTCCTCCCTCCCTCCCCCTCCCCACCCCCTACAAAACCTATGCGAGCCCTTTCTTCTACACTTCAAAATGACTCACTCTTCCAGGATCTCACACACTGCCAGACATTTAAACGAAGTCAAGTTGGGTAAGGCGTGTGTGAGGCATCCATATGCAACACCTCAGCGTGGACGAAGTGAAGCGCCGCGACGCTCCCTCCGACTAGATTTGCTCACAAAAATGTTCCTTTATTAGTATCTACAATAGACAAGATGAGCTGTTCCTTTGATTCCATCATCTTACTTTACAGGTCTCTCTTAAGTGAGTTTTCGCAGACCCATGATCGACTCTGGCATGAACCTCGGCATAGTTATAGTATAGTTTATTAGCTTTAACAGAAACACCGTGCATGATAATATGCAGTTCCGATCTGCGGCGGCTAACGCGTTTCGGCCAGCGCTTTCGCCTCTTTAACGGAGCTTTTTGCAGACTTTTTACATCCAACTAATGCAATTTCTATAGGTAAATAATACGTAAATGAAGTACTATCCTGTCAAGTTGGACCCATATTAATTTCTAATACATGAACGCAAATGTCCACGAAAGACTGCAGCTTTGCAGAAGATGCAAAAAGAAAAGCACAGGTTTTCCTCATTGCAACATGAGTCTACGGGTGTGGTTTACTAGGGCAGAAGGCGACTTTTCCGCGTTTCGCAGCGCGAAAAACTTTTAGTTGTTGGAGTTCCACTAATGATCAGCGGTGGACCCAAGGTTCCCGTAGCGAGAGAATGTTTTGCACTGCAAAAGGCGAAAAAATGGCTCACTTCCGTTCATTCCACATGGTGCTGCAGTGGCAGCTGGAGGGCAGTGGAGAGAGGAAGGGAGGATGAGGAAGGGAAGCGAAAAATCTACCGTCATATCATGATTGTGTCCCTTCTACTGTATGAAACACCATTGTGTTGCATACGCGTCACTTCCAGGTGTTGGTGTCACAGGAGGAAGGGACCATAGCGGAGGATAGAAAGCTTGCGCAGGAAAGGAAGGTCCCGGCGGTTGACGGGGGACTAATCTGGTAAATAATAAATTTCGACCCAGTGATAATGAATATTGCAGTCATTTGCCCCAGAAACGCGTGACATTAAGCTAGCGTCGCGTACAGTCATGGGCAAATAGTGGCAAACCTGCGACCAGCTACTTGCAAACGCTTTACTCAGGCTCAGGCAAGTAGAGGCAGACGTTGACGAAGTAAGGTCACTGGAAGCCTTCTAGTCATGTTGTCAAAAAAGCAAAGCAGCATCACGAGGAGCCGATCCCATGACCTCCCCCCCCCTATGTGCCTGGGGCGCTGGTTTACGCTGGCGGCTCAAATGATAGCACTCAAACACAGTATTGAAATACAGTATTGAGGAGGGAACTTCCGTAACTTCGTTCAGAGCACCGTTTAGCAGATAAGAAAAGCGGTTTCTAGCTTATCGTCTCAAGACGAATGCATAGGTATACACCTCATTGCAAATGGCCGGACCGACCTGATGACCTTTCTTGGTAAGCAGCTCTCTCAACTTTATCGGTGTGCTAACAAGACAACTGATGAGGCGGAGCAGTTCTTAGTGCTTTGTTGGGAAAACCGTTCATATCACTATGTATTTGTCCTCTCTCGTGCTCGGTGCTGCTTCGAGCATTTTACGGGATTCACTTTTTTCAAAGTTCAATGTTTGTTGCTTATCATTTGTTTTACAGATCATTATCATTCTCACGCATTTTGAACCTACACAAAGTTTTTCGGTAGAGCATCAACTCTTTGTAAGTTTCACTTTGTCAGCGTTTTCTTTAACTTTACTGACTAAGTTGTGATTGTCCCCATTTGAAATGCTCATCTTACACCGCGTCCTTTTCACTGAGATTAAGAGGCTATTTTAAGGTTCGAGTGTCACCTTATCCCGCGTTAGCAGATTTTATTGTGAATAGAGGATTTGGAGTCAGTACTGAATCTCACTCACCATCATTTGGATGTCAAGCGATTGAACAGTTGCATTCAAGAAAGGCACTGTTTTTTCCTTGAAGCTCTTTTCATTGATTCGAAATGTTACACGTTTCTTATCTGATACATTGGTCATTTGGAGGAGAGTTTCTTCAGTTCTTTTTTCAAAGTTGACATTTGCTATGATTTTGAAGAAATTTTGTTATGTAGGAATATTCATTTGGAATACTGAAATTGCTAATTATTCTGACTTGGGTCTCCATTTTTCTTCATTTTTTGTCATCCCTTCTTCGTTTTACTAGTCTAGAGTTTTTTCAAGATGTTTCTAGAGATGGTTGGTTTCAATCCGGTCACATTCTTGTTCTTTCGTTTTCTTATAAGCTACTGGGTACTGCATGTCATTTATGCCACGCATCCGAATCTCCTGAGGCGTAAACCCTCTGAGAGCTTTACATGTATCCTATATCCTGTTACTAATTCGTGTTACGTTGAAGTCATAACTTCCTACTGTGATTACAAATAATTCTCTTCAACACTCACTTAGTCTTTCTTTAGAAGGTGTTTGAAAATGTTCGAAAATATGCCTATCATTGATGGAGTGTATGTTTATGAGATATTCGTTTAATAGAACTCGGTGAAAGATTTCTGCGTGCCTATATGCCTGGAAGGCGTTGGAAAATGCCTAATTTCAGTACTACCCTGCCCCTACTTCAACATGCTCAACCAACACCGTCCTTACAGGCGTAAAAACCATAAGAGTCAGTAGTTATATTACAGTTTATGCTTTAGTTTTAAGGTGTTCATGTACATTCGTTTCAAATTCCGAGAGAACTGAAACCGCCCAGGACCCTTAGATTCCTTAAATTCTATTCTCTCAACGACCCCCTATCTGGATAGTGCACTCATAACATGGGAGATAAACTATAATGGAGGACAGGTCGAGAGTACGTTGAGGAATCCTCGACAGGTCGACAGAGGGGTGAGGTGTGGGGTTGTATATGGTCCGCTGGGAGGAAGGGGTCGGGCCGGATCCATGCAGGCATCACCACTGTCGGAGGACGAAACATCAAGGAGTGATCGATACTGCGTAAGCTTGGCCAGAGGATTTCCAATAACAGTGTAACCTCGCCTGTATAGGACTCCTTGTGTATCGATGTGGTTCGGGGGAATACAGTGGTAGAATGTTTATTGTGTAGCTTGGATTCTGGGCGTGCCTCTCAGTCTCAAACGAGGCCGCGCCTGTGGTATCATTTGAGTGACATTTATGTGCTCAAGGAGTGGTGAGGTGTTGAGATGAGTGCGTAGGTGAGATTAGGTGGGAAGGTTCTGGTGGCATGCCAGAACACTCCGCGGCGACAAAAGGGAATGAGAGAAGATGAAAGAGGAATAATGTACAATTATGAGAAGGTAGCGGTAGACATAGTAATTGCTTTTTGGAATTTGATAAACAGAGATGTGTGACGTCAGGAGTGTGCAGCTTCAGGACCCTCGTAACTGATTATTGGTGATTGACCCTTGACTCTTGTGGGCAGCTGGTAGTTGGAAGTGGTCGCATCTTACGGTGTTGGCCTCGCGTGAAGTGGCAGTGGAGTGAAAAATGGTTGAGATTAAATTAATGAACGGTATGGTGTAATAACTAAATGAAGAGATCTATTCCTACCAGCTTTGATAAAGTGTTTGATGGGTGGTGACAGGTGTTCGTAGTCGGGTGATCCTCAGCATGTAGAGTTGGAGATCGGATAAGTGGAATTAGCGTGAAATTAGATTAGCTGAAAATGTGGAATTCAATAAAGAAACGAAATGATAGTGATAATATGATACCGGTTTTACATGTGGGTTCTGATAGAAGCTTTGGTCTGTTCAGTTGTGGAATTTGATGATGACTGAGGTGAACTTCTTCCAGTGAGTAGACGGCGATATTTGGTAAAGTGTAAGTTATTATGGAACAAATTATATAATAACGGTTATTTATGTGCTCGTCAGCACTTGATAGTTTCGGTAATAAATTGAAAAACCATTTGATGATTCTGATCACGAGGCTAGCCACAGTGATCAGAATAGAACGGACGAAAAAGGAAAATAAGCCTGCTAAAACCATAACGGATGTAGCGGCAACCATTGCAAGCTTCCAATGAGCTCGTATGGTATTTAGTAGTGGACTTAGGTCCGGTATTTTGATGTCTGCTATCGACGCCATGAAATTTTGTTTATGTTTCAACTCCTGTGGTATAAGTTAGTTTTGATGTGCCTTTTATATATTAGGTTGTCTCAGAAGTTCGTGCGTATTTTGAACTTATTTTTGAGCCTGCACTATTCCAAGCACGTGTGCAACCTATCATCATTATATGTACCACCACTATCAGTGACTTGTTACCAAACATCCAACCAAAGATTGGCAACTTAACTCTCAAAGGGCTGGCAGTTATGAGCTGAAAAAGGCAGTGAGGTCGATTTTGAGGTGCTAATGGGAATCGTATTTTTTGTCGTCAAGAAGGCGGCTGAGCAGAAAGGGCAGATGTCTTTCGAAAGAGAATGACTACCGCTGCACGATGAATGTGGTAGGCCTTTTCAGCTGGGCTTCGATATTCAGAATCGCTTCATTATCGAAATGTGTGGCCTCGGGTGTTGTGGAGCGTACACACTTTTTCGAGTTTTAACGACATTTGTTGGGGTTTCACCGTGAGTCTCTGCCGTTGATCTCCCTACACTTGAGTGAATTCATATCTATAATGATTGACATGTCTCTAGTGGCTTACTCGATAACGCTCCAAAAGAGGTGGAGCACGACCTTGTGGTGAATTTCTTCACTTTTCACCCTCTTCTGTCCGATCTAGTCCCTGGAGATTCTAGGTGTGGTTGTCATGGAACCTGAGCTTCTCAACTGCAGTAGTAGCTTTGTTCAACCAGGGCGTACGGATGGAGCTGGACACAAATTTGTAGACGGGACTCGTGCCGCACTCCTGTCATCAGTGATCAACTCATGAGGGAATCTTTGGTGAGGCTTCAACCATTCTACGAAGGAGCGAGAACCTCTACGCATTGTGCATCTGGAACACCAGGATGTGGTTGCCACAAAGCAGGTAGCCCCGTGTGGAGTGACTCCCACGAGAGAGCACAGATTCTCCAAATCCGACACTGATGGCCTCTCTGAACGTGGATTTTTCTACCGGCTGTAGTCTCCTGGGCAGAGAAGATCCAGCTATTCTGATACCTCACTGTTGGTGAGGGCGAGGAGATGTATCGCGATGCAGATGCCGCTTCAGGCTTCAATCGGTTTGTGGCTCAGTAGAGCTGCTTAAGTCAGAGCGCGAAAAACATAGCTCTTTTCTCTTTCCACTTTGAACTCGAAGAAGGCGACGATGGTGGGCAGGATTCGGGTATAAGCTACTGCACAGTGTGCCCTATCCACAGCCTACGTGAACACATTTTGAATTTGTTGAAGGAGCTTGTGGCATGAGATCCAAAAAATACGCACGAACTTTCGAGACAACCTAATAGGGTACCATTGAGCGTAGAGTAACATTTTCGTTACCGCATACGCTGAAGCAGTGCTGGTTGACTACCGCATGATCGTAGCTGAGTTTAACTACGCTTTTGCGGATTTGTTGGACCACATTCTATGACGAATGTGTTTTGCGCGCAGTGCACGGCAACTTCCGTGGGATTTTTCGTTTCACAGAGAGCAGTGATTTGTGCTCCTTGAATGCAGTTATAGCATCCTGTCAACGAACTTAGCTCCACTTTGCATTTCTCATCGTCGACAAAGTTGACGGTTTCCATAAGAAATCTAGGATTGTACTGTAACAGTTGACTTCAACGTCAGCTGAGATAGCGAATATCTCTCTGCCATTACTTGTGTATCTCCATGGATGGCGTACTTAGTGGCAGTATATGATCACTATTAGTACCGATTTGCCGGAGCGATGTTTGTGGACATTGGCAATGGTGCTTAGTCAGGAAGGTCTATGCAGATGCGGGGACCACAGAACCATGTTTAATTTTTCCTGAACGGCCCTCTGAATACCAGAAAAGGGGGTCCCTAGTTCGATTCCTCTTGGTGACAAATTTTTGCATTTCGAGTTGACGTTCCAAAATTCGCGCAAAATGGAGTTCTGATTGTTCTGGTTGGTTCTAACTCCATTTTGCGCGAATTTTGGCACGTTGTGTGGTTCCATCTGCCCTATATCATGCAAAAGACCGTTTTCAAAAAGCTTGTCACGCCCTGAAAGACCTTCCTGGTTAGTCCAACCGGTGTTACAGTCACGATAATCTTATTGACGCAATTCTGGAAATTCATTGTTGTCTCTTCGAGGGTTGCACATTCGACCGGTACCACGAACTGGTCCGGTAAGATCATGGATCTATTTTGTGATATAGCGAACCTCTTACCAAGCAAAGATAACGTTGGTTTCTGCACTGACACAGCTGTGACGTTGAAAGTGTAGAACTTTGAAGTGAGGTACGGCTCTAAGAAAAGACTTCCTTTTTGGGTCTTTCCGAACAGAGTTGTTTCCAACTCAACCTGCACGCTAGGTACCCAGTCTCTGCATTCTATTATTTCAAATACTTGCTTCGAAATGGGTACATGGGCAACCTTGTAAAAGGTGCATGAAGGGGAAGGTAGAGCGCATCCGCAGCCTAAGCCCCCGCATGTGTATTGACATCCTGAGTACCCTGGGTACTTTCTTGCTCTTGACAGCTCAGATACCGTCTGGTTAGGGCGCATGAGATAACATTAATTTCAATTTAAGGACCCCTGTGAAACTAATCTAGAGTAACTCTGAGTCTCATCTATTACGGAATTTCGAAACTTCGAACATGTCAGGATTACTGCAGTGTTTCTCACCTTCAGAAACCCAACTGTTTTATTTTGTGAACGGATCTCTATACAGTGCACAGTTTGTATTCTATTGAATAGAAACTCCCTGCTGAATTCGTAGCTGCAAATTCCATCCTGGTTACAGATGATATCAGTCGCATGCCTTGTAAAGCCATGTTGGCAGGCTGCTGCACCTTTACAAATAGCCGCTAAAGTTATGCACAATGTGATAAGCAGGCCACCGCTCAGAGGCGCTAGGGTTCCAGGAATGAAGATTAATATTTTCAGCATGAGTGGTATTGTTACAATTGATTTGAATGTTAGTTGAAGGCTGGCTATCCCTGGACCTAAACAGAGATACGATAAACCAGATTGGTATTATCATGATTACCATCATGAAATACGCAATCAATGCTACACTTACAATAGCACCCACCGGCCAGCAGTGGGGATTGCCTAATAATGATGGACTGAATAGTGAATTTGATTTTGAGCAAAACTCAGGGTTTGCGCAAATAGTTGTAAAGACCATTGGCCCTTCATTGTTGATGTAGTTGATGGTAACGTTGGTTGCATTATGAAGCGGCGAGATAGGCAGCTCATAAGTCATAGCTATGCCATCGCCTACAAACTTGCGACAATCTTCGTTGAAGCATAGCTCGTATGGGTGCGTTTTCCCAGCAATTTCCACTATACCATTATGGCAACTTGGATAATTTGCATAGGACGGCACTGCTAAAGCTAGATTGCTAGAATTGTGAATCCCATTTTCGAATTACATTTTATGCGGGAACGTACTTTTTTGTTGCCGCGAGCGTGACGTTTGGTTATTGAGCGACTCTTGAATCGGCTCGACCCTTAATGTAAATTGTGAAGAACTTTGGCTCTTGTAAGCTATCTTCAAATTCATTTATAACCTCGTACGCTCTAGCTTTTGAAGCTCTCGGTAGAACAGTGCGTAATTGCCCTAGTTCGCGCGGAGTACATTCTTTTGGTGCTTCTGTCGCGTCCTTGTCGACTGCACGTATTTCCAGTGGATATAATTTATTTAGAGGTCTTTGTAAAACGTTGCCATTGGTGATAGCACTTTCGCAGACCACACGAGGCCATCATTGCTAAGGGTGAGATCGATTAGACCGGAAGCCAGTCGTTTGCACCGGAGATCTCTCTCCCCGAGGTCGACGATTGGAAGCCTTAAACACGAAGCATAAGATGAGTCACTACAGTATGCTCTCGCACTATCTGCCTCTAATCCCTGGCAGCAAAACTTTTCTGAAACTTTTCTTTGACCGCCTGCTCTTTATGGACAAAATAATAGCTGCCAATAGAATGCCACCGTGTTCTAATCTAATGTAAACATAATCTTGTTAAAGGCCATCAGGCCCCGGGGCGAATTTCTGAACTTAGGCTCTCGAGAATGTGAACATCGTGAAAAAAGTACGAGTACTCGAAGTGCATGGTTAAACGTCCTTTTTGCGAAAAGCGAGCTTATGCCTGTTTTGCTTCTCAGAAGCGAACAAAGGAGGAAAAGAAAACAAAAGGACCGCAATTGGTTTGGTGCACATTGTGCGATTTGAATTCGCAAAAACGGATCCGAAAATGCAAGTGATTGCCCACATGGAAACGAGGAGCACTGGTCCAGTTTATGCGGGGTTGAAATGATGAGAGCGCAGCTGTAGTACAAGCTGTCATGAGACCGAGAAGAAGAAACCGATGAGACAGTTAAATTTGAAACAAGATGGATAGAAAGATTTGAACACAAAGGGCACACGGTGCCAGTTAGTGACCTACTAGTGGCGCATGTCATCGAATTTTCCGCCAAACCTCTCCATCCCACCTGGGCGCGAAAATGTCATGAAAATCAAAGAAAGTGCGAAAGCAATAAGCGAAGTGCAAATAGGATAAGTGGCAGAAGTTAACAAATGGCTGAGCTGCCCGGAAAAACGAGTTGATCAAGTTCATTCTTCCGTTTAGGCTCAGCAGAGCCGATAAGAAAGATCAAACTACCTGCCTCCTCCGGCGTCGGGACTCGCTGCTACCAGTAATATGTGCGAGTTATCTAGCTCGCTCGGACCGATTGCTTCTGATAGTTAAGTCGAGAATATAGTCAGTTTTATTAATAATGCTGACTTCGAGATCAGTCCAGTCGAATATCTTCAGCGGAGGCGTTAGGGCCCAGAGGTGACGATCCGAAGGAGATCAAGGAGCGACGGAGGCGCAGGCCCAGTCGTTGCAGCGGAGATCTCTCTCTCCCGAGGTCGACGATCGATCGATCGATTTTCTCGCGTCCTTTTTCGCTCTCCTACACCTCCCCCATTACGAAAAAGTCCGTCCTCGGACTTAAATGAGGACAAATGAAAAGAGAAATGCTCACCTTGGGCTTCAAAGGAGAGAAAAAGGGTCGTCAGTCGATGAGATCCGGCAACGAAGCGGCAGACACGACGGCAGAACGATTGCGGGCCCATAGGAGGATGTCATTCCAGTAAGAGAGGCCCATCAAAGACTGCTCGTGACCTAGAACAAATTGGCCGTGCTTACACCTGGTGAGGGCGACGTTGAGCCGATGAGGTTCGTTGAGGAATTCTCCTCGATCAGCATCGAATCCGGTACGCGTGGTGAGGAGGATGATGATGTCCTTTTCACGACCCTGCACGGAGTCGACCGTGTGTAAATCGACCTCGTGGTTCTTGGCGAAGTGACCTTGCAATCATCTTGAAGTTCTTCTCATAGGTTCGGGTCATATATATATGAACTTCGCATTGATATACAGCATGAGGTCATACGTCGGATGTTTCTGCGGTTTTAGTCTCAGGAAGAATCCGGCAGATGTCGGGAAAGCTAGGAGCAATTGAGGATGTTCCGTTCTCCAAACATTGAATGGACACCCTGTGAAAGGGGAACCTTTTTCCAAAGCAAAGACCTTGTCCTCCTGCTCCACCAAATATGTGTACCTGCTACCGAGAGTGTGAGACCGATGGGTTTGGTTGATTTCGACGGCAGTGCCATCGTAGAGAATCTCAAAGTTGTCATCAGCACATCCCGTTTGTGGAGCTGCGTTCCAGTATGTTTCTCCCTCCTCGTTGTCCATACAGTGTCCCTTAGACCATGCGCATTTCAGTCCTCTCCTTAGATGAATCGTGTCTGATTTTGTTGAAACTCGAGCAAAGTAGCGAAATGTACTAATCTTTACCACACCCTGCACGTCGACGTTTTCCCAGATACCGTAGCTATCGGACTGGACAGCACCGACACAGCTTCCATCAGTCTTGACGGACCCTGCACGAACTACAGACCTTGATGTTGTGGTGTCACGCTCGATGTTATTAAGAGATAAGGCCGCAGAAATGCGAATACTTCCGGTGTTGTGAAGATCCTCGCACGTTTGTCGCTTCAACTCATGTATGTACTCCGCATATCCTTGACTGACCACTGAGACATGACTGTGCATCCCGCAGTACATGACAACGCGATTAATGATCACCATGCATAACGTTACCTCGACTTGAAACTCATCATTGAGACGATGAAGTTGTAGGCGCGTAACCTTCTCTTGCTCAATATCGTCATCATGATCACATCCTTGAACCGAGATGGCGGAGGGGCCGATCCCGAAACCGCGACCCGGTAGCCGCAGCGGATTGGCTTTGGCTTCGCGTTGTCGGCATGATGATTAGCAGTATAGAGAATACACGGTAGCAGTAACAGACGAAACTGTTGAGTGATGAGCAATCTCCTAAGTGCAAGGCCCTTTATAGGAGGGAAGAGGGAATGGGCGGGGCATACAGGGGGATTCTGTATCATACGGTGCCAGGGGCAGGAGGTCAAAGTGCGTGTACAAGAAAGTCCGATCCAATGAGGATGCAGAAAAATGTAAACATCCAAGCGGATCCCCTTCCCCCGAGTTCCCTTGAATGCCAATCCCCGCTTGCGGAGCTGATATGCCGAATGTTTATGAAGCGAGAAGATAACGGGAGGAATGCTTATCGAGAAGAGAGAGGAAAAGTTTATGAATGTTCATGAAACGGGAAGATAACGCCGTCGTTTTGTTTTGAGAGACGAGCGGATAGCATGAGCGGAATGCTTGCTGGCATACGGGTGTCGGCGCCGTCGTCCAGCGGGTGCTTACCCGATGTCGACGGATGGCCGAAAAAGGGAGCTTTGGCCCTTCGCACATCGCGCATAGCATGCCCGAGGTCCCCGTGGACCACGGAAACTATGCGCAATTCGAAGAGGCGCGAAACCTGGGCAGGTCGCGTCAGGCGGCAACTCACTATTTACCTGCAGCGTACGTGTTACAACACGGCGGTAGCGATCGATATTTGGCACAAATAAGCAGCAATACTCAGGTTAAACAATAATATCATAAAAGGATGAAAAAAGGTCACAAGGTGACTTGAACGGGCACTTACCGGAAAAAAAAGAAAAAAAGTAAGGCGACGATTACGAATGAAGAAGCGAAAACGAGAAAATAATAATATAATGCGGAGGAGCTTCAAACAATGACGTGATCATTGCAAAGCAAGTCTTTTCTAAAACTTTTCTTTTGACCACTGCTCCTCACTAGACAAAACATAGCTGCCGCTAGATGACCACTGTTCTACATCATAATGATAAACATATTCTTGTTAAAGGCCATCAGGCCCCGGGGCAAATTTCTGAACTTAGGCTCTCGAGAATTTGAACATCGTGAAAAAAGTACGAGTACTCGAAGTGCATGGTTAAACGTCCTTTTCGCGAAAAGCGAGCTGATGCCCGTTTTGCTTCTCAGAAGCGAACAAAGGAGAAAAGAAAACAAAAGGACCGGTCAAGTGCGTGGTGCATCAGCGTTGCGATTTTGAAAACATTCGCAAAAACGGCCGAAAAATGCGTGATTCGCACCATGGAAAAACGAGGAGAGCATTTGCGCCAGTTTGGGGGTTTGAAACAATGGATGGGAAGTGCAGCTGTAGTACAGCTGCATGAGACCGAAGAAAAACGAACGATGAGAACGGTTAAAATTGAAACAAAAGGATTAGGAAAAGATTTGAACACAAAGGGCACGGTGCCAGTTAGTGACCTACTAGTGGCGCATGTCATCGAATTTTCCGCCAAACCTCTCCAGCCCACCTAGGCGCGAAAATGTCATGAAAATCAAAGAAAGTGCGAAAGCAATAAGCGAAGTGCAAATAGGATAAGTGGCAGAAGTTAACAAATGGAAAAAGGAACGACGGGCATCCAAACCTGGCCTCCCAGCATTTGCTGAGCTGCCCGGAAAAACGAGTTGATCCAAGTTCATTCTTCCGTTTAGGCTCCAATACTGACTTCGAGATCATCCAGTCGAATATCTACAGCGGAGGCGTTAGGGAGGTGACGATCCGAAAGGAGATCAAGGGGCGACGGAGCGCAGGCTGGAAGGCCAGTCGTTGCAGCGGAGATCTCTCTCGAGGTCGACGATCGGAAGCCTTAAGTACGAAGCATCAGATGAGTCACTACAGTATGCTCTCGCACTATCTGCCTCTCATCCCGACATACTCTCTCGTGCCAGACGGCTACTTGTAAGGGAAACCGCCTGAAAAGGGAAACAAAGGAAATAAATGAAAAATAAATAAATGGCTAGGAGAGTTTACTAGTTGGTCTATTACCACCTTAATTAGTAATTTGTTTGATAATTAGTGTATTTTACAACTGTCTCGCGTCCTTTTTCGCTCTCTTACATAGCTCATTACTGAGCATCCTGTTGAGTCAGCAGGTTGTGAAAGTTCGATTATGATTTTTGAGAAAAGTCGAAAATTAGCACCATAATCTGATCGAACTATATGAGGGACGCCTCTTCTTGACACAAAACGAATGAAGCTGTTTAGGAAGGCTCCAGCTGACATATTCTCCACTACTTCTAGATGGACTGCCCTAGTTGTTAAACAGGTGTACAAGCAAATGTACATGTTTTCGTCCGATTTCGTGAAAAATGGACCAATAAAGTCACAACCAATATTGCGGAATGGTTTTGTAATCACCACTCTATCTGTAGGTAGAGGTGGCATATTTGGGGAGCCGAATGGCAGTCCCTGCCATCTTTTACAGACCGCGCAGTCTCGCAAGTAGGTCTTAAATGAGCCAGATGCCCGGGGTAACCAGTATCTCTGCCTTACAAGAGATAACGTTTGGTCTTTTCCACAGTGGAAGTGTTTGTGGTGGATATTGGTGAGAACTAGTCTCGTAATATCACCTCTGCTTGGCAGAAATATGGGTGATTTAGCATCGGTAGGGATGCATGCATTTTGCAAGCGTGAAATATGTCTAATGATGCCATTACGCATGCATTACTAGCATGTTTCGAATGTTCTTACTAAGTTCATTTACACCAATGTTTTTGTGGACATCTGCATGGACGAGTTTTTGGCCATAGCAAGGTCCTTTGCGTTGATCTCAACATCTAATGAGAAGCTTAATTTATTTCCCAATTGTATGGGCGTGCTTCTTTTCTTGTTCGCTCGCGATACGAGGTAGCAAAGGAATTTGCCAACTCTCGCAACAGTGCGCAAAGCAGTTGACATTTTGGAAAAACGCGAAAGTTCAAAGACAGGTGCAGTGAACTAACGGCTTGGGTTTGCGGTAGTGCGATAATTACCGGTGTTGGGTCAGATTCGACTGGCTCCGTTGTTTGAACAACGTTGATAGGCCGTAGAAAGCTGATTTGGGTAGTGCTTCTAACCAACACGGACCTTTAACCCAGGCGCTGCTGATGATTTGTTCCTTAGATAGCCCTCTCGTGCCAGCATCGGCTGGGTTGTAGGAGGTGGGAACGTGGAAAAATTGAACGGTCACATTCTCAGATTCTATTTGAGATCTGAGTTTGTGAATTCGTACACATTGGTTGGAGACAAAAACCGGCAGCTTGCGAGATGATTTTATCCAGCACAGCGCAACTTCGCTGTCGGTCACTATGTTAACTGTCTCTACCTTAATACTGATTGCTTTACGAACCGCTAGTCTGAGAGCGATCAAGATTCCGAGAAAGTTCCAAACAAGGTATTGTTTGCTCGTTCTTTTTCGGGCTTAGACGAGATTTCCCACAAATGATCTGGGATACCGCGTTATTTTGCGCTGATTGCATGTATGCACATGCTGCTATGGCTATCTTGCTTGCGTCTGCAAATACCCAGAGGTGAGCGGTGGTTCCACCTTCACTATCCAAGGCTGGCATTATGACGCGCGGAATGGTAATCACGGTATTATCGATTTCCCTACACTTACTCACCCATTTTTTGGATGTTTCGTGGAAGAATCGGCCCGTTCCAATCAAAATTAGAACATAAAATTTCCCTAAGCGATCTTCTGCTGGTATTTTGGAATTGACGAGTGCTGAGTTCGAGATATACTCTCGCAGATTCATTCCAATTTTAGAAAAGAGTTCCTTTGAATCTCTGTATTTCTGCAGCACCTCCTCTTCTGAATCTGCGACTAACAATATGTTGTCAACATAGATGTTTTTCGCGATTTCGGTAGCAAGGGTCTGTTTTGAGCGATTCCAAATATGCTAGGATGGCCATGTTTAGAATGCTCGGAGAGGCGGTTACCCCAAACGGTAATCTAGTGAATCGGTTATTCAACTATATTCCTTTTTGTGAGGGGCAAGTCCATATTCTTAGTCCACAAGAATCGACATAAGTCTTTGTGATGGCTAGGAATGCGGATCTGAGTGAACGCCGCTTCAATATCGCAGAGAAGAACGAACTTACTCGATCTGCTTGCGATTAGAATGCTATGGATTTTGTTAACGAACGATTCGCCCTTATGAATGGTATCATTTAGAGAAAATATTCCGCCTTCTTCTTGAAGAAGCACGAAAACTAAAAATATTTTAAAAAGTGTTTTCTTGACTTCGCATAGATGCCTCAATGAATAGGGCAAATATAATAATTACACCTAATTTCTCGTACCTGCACTCTTTTCAGGACCTCTGTCTTCGTACTGGTTGAGTATCTGGTGATACCACTGCTCTGCTGTATTGTTTTGCCAAGAGTGCTGTGTCTGGTATTCGATTTGCCAAGATGGTTTTTTGCAAACGCGGCTCACACCATTTCTGATCGCGATCGCATAGTTGTCGTTTAGGTCAACTATATTATCCTTGAGGGGAAAGGGCGCCGTTATGCAACCATTCGCAAAGGTTATTTTCTTGGAGTACTCTTGGAAGTACAAGAGAGTGTTCTCCTCTTTCTTGTTTTCGACTGCTTCAATGCCCAGGCCTTCTAATTCGAACATTCTTTGAATGTTTTCACCGTCATTATCTGATGTTTCGAATATAGAAGTCATAGCATGTGAAACTTTCATGATATCGGTCGACTCTATGGCCCCACGTCCATACAATGTCGGTCCGAAGACTGTTTTTGCGAACGTGGAGACCGGAGGGAGTTCGAGTATTCGGAATGAATTCAAGATCATAATAGCGGTCGAGCCCCACCAAAATACAGTGCGTTTCATAACTATAAGGTCACCCTAAAATCCGGGACCAGCAGCCAACTAGTGATTTTTCCTTCATTAAAATGATTCCCCACTACGAATAACCCCTGTATCGCAGTTTTGGCGGGAGCTGCTTTTCTTCGAACTTTTCATAATTATTTTTTAGTTTTTGCAGCGTTTCATAATAATATAAAGTCACCCTGTAAAATTCAAATACACATATCAGAAACACCTGTAAATTGGAATGTGAAAAACACCCAGTAGCTAATTATGGAATGTTTCGATACTCGCCTTTTGAAAGAAAAGGTGAAGTTTATGCATTTCATGGTGCTTGGCACGGTTCGCGAGTCTTTCCAAAGAACTTCGGACAGTCATTAGCACTGCTCATGGATAATTGAAAAGCTCCTACGTCTCCAGATATTCTACAATATCAGAACATCCACAAAATGGTTTCTATAAATGATTAGAGAAGAGTTATGAGGGCTGTCCCGTGCAGTATTTCCGCTTCAAATCGGCGTCGTGCCTGATTTAAGGTTTCTATCTTGAAAAATATGAACTGGAGTGCGGTGAAATTATGCAACAACATTACCAGGAAAGCAACAAAGATGGTCCGAAGGCTCAGTGGCCATTGCAAAGTGGCACAACTTCAACCCGTAAAGTTGAACTTGAAGAGAGTTTGAACAAGGTTGAGTCTGCTCCACAGTCGCACCATATAGCAAGATAATTCCAGTAAAGTTGGTATTTTTTGGACAAAACTGGTTTATACAAACAGATCCTGCGAATATAAACACTTTTGAAGTGACTTGCGAAGGTGGCCGATTCACTTCAGCGCTTGCAATTTTAGTTAAGGAAATGTGAAAGGTGTGGGTGCTTTTTGTGATGATGTTGTGTCAAAATTTCGCTTCCATAAACTGCACAATGGACTCCAAAGATTAGCATAGTGGCTTGAAAGGGCATGAGACATCCCCCTTGAGCTG